AATTTGAAGAACTGCTAAATACAAAAAGTGAATTATAATATTGAAGGTCTGGCCAGTGTATGAAATATCTGGGACAGACCTTATAATCATTTATTTCTATTGGACATTATTGAGACTTTTATTATCTATCCAAAGATATGGCTAATCTAATACCAGCATTAGTAAGACATGACTATTGAGGGATTAGATGTGTACTTGTTAGATGAGAATAGTATAGAAGAAAGCCAAAAAGCATGAGAGAGTATTTATCAGTAGATGATATGCAGCAAAATTTCTTTAACTCCAGTAAAGCTAATGTTTTGGACTTCAGTGTATATTGTTTGCTGATGAAAACCCTCTCACATCTTTCAGCTTTATCAGATTTTTAAGAGTTAAGGAAATTTCACTGCATATCATCTGCTAATGAATACTTTCTCATGATTTTTGGCTTTTTCATTACTACTGTCTGCATGCATACACTTTCTGAACCATTGTTTTAGAAAACAGTCTCAGAATTGTGGCTGATGGTATGTTCACTACACTTTTGATGTTTTCTATGTTACTTATCTTTGTATCTGTTTTTCTTACAGGTGTAATCTCACTGTTGACTACAATTCACCTAGTACTGCTGAGATCATATCTTCAATAATTGTTGCTATCCCCACTGTCCTTTACACCACTTTATGGCAATTATGTTCTGTCTCTATTTCCTCATCTGTTGTGTGTTTTACCTCCTTGTGCATGCAGTCATATACGAAGATTATGCTAGAGGACTCAATAACACTAATGCCACTCTCCAGTATAGACTGTTCTTGCATTTTCATACACTAAATAATAGTATCAATAGTGGTTGATTTTCATACTATCAATGGCATTCTGCAAGCTATATAAGTTGGTGGAATTAGTGAGGCATATGTCACATTTCTGAGCATAATGTTGAGATCTCACCTTGTATCTAGGTGCAATTCAAAAACAAAATATCAATAGCACTTTTTATTTTTTATAAAGTCTGTTAACAGCATCAAGAACATCTTCCTCACTACATTCACTAGTAACAACCAGATCTGATTCTACTGTCAACTGGACTCAAAGTTGTCTTCTAGAGATACTCACTTACTGTGTTAATTGATGCATTAATATACAGTTTATCAGTAATATCATGAAATATCTGTCCTAATATTTATTGTGGCTTGTTTGAAGCAGATAACTTGAAAGATAATGAAAAAGAGCTTATGAGACAGGCAATTCCTCATTTTCCTTCCTTTGATGCAACTAAAACTTGCATGATCTTGGACAGACCATGCTACTATTGTGTGTGACAGAAAACATGGCAAATAGAGTCAAATTCAATATATATCTTACTTAACATCTTTGATGCAAGTGATGCCATTATGCATAGTTTAATACTGTTCTGAAGAATGATTAACATCTCATCATCATTAAGGTCAGTAGTGTTTTAATCTCTCATAAGCCCTGTTTTATTTTATGATACTGCCACCAGTACAGAATCAATTCCAGATCAATCATTCTGATAGATTCTGTTTGAGAGGAGGTGTCAGTATCAGTATATTCTACTACTGCTACTTCTGTTATTAGATACAGTCTGACTCTGCTCTCAGATGCTATAGTATATACTCATCATTTCTTATAAGATTCAAGAGTAAATTGACAGATTGAGATCTATTAATGTGTCTGTACTCAGTCTATAGTTTGCTGGGAATTCTTTTTGAGGTATACTAGAGAGAATGTAACATGGCAACCCCATAATATCATAGCTTATTCTCATGGGCATTTCATTAGAGTCCAGTGTTCTCTAGTTCTATTTCATATGTAGTACAGAATGAATACATTGACTCATTGCATGTTCTGAATTAGTGCAGATCAATTTAAATAAATCAGCTATAAATATCAAATTATCTAGAAACTTAACATGCATAATGCACATTAACATGTTATCTGGTAGTGCAGGAATAGGTATGTTCCAATCCACTTCCATCTATTTGACAGCCTGATAAAGCTTGTACTCATTACCTTCTACCAGGTTTGCACATGCCAACAGAGTGGCATTATCTCTTGGGATCACCTGTCCAGCTGTATTGGATGTAATGAGCAGAGTTCAGAGATCATCAAAATACTGCCACTGGAACATAAGTCTTCACCATGCTCAAAGGTTTAGGAAACTGACCTCATTCCAGAGGAGGATTTTAGCTTTGGTGAAAAGGGATACTTGGACCTGCAATTGTTGCCAAATATTCTGCAGTCACTGAAGGGTTTCAGATTGCATGTTTGATGGGAGAGTAACAGCAAGTGAAAAAGACATTGTTTGCATAGGTGAGAAGGTGGCATGTTCACTTTATTGTTCAACTTTGTTCAGGACAACATGGTTCCAGTGGAAGCACATTAGTTCTAGGTTGATGGAAGCCCTGTGTTCTTTGTTTGACAATTTCTCTATTCTTGCCAGCTTTTAAAGTCTCAGGAGCCTCATTGACTGTTCTAATGGCACCCAAATCATCCTTTCTGCTAGCCAAGGAAGACTGGATTAAATCCAGAATCACTGAATACCTTCTGAAGATGCTATATGGTAAAGAATGGATACATGGTCAGCCACCACTGAAAATTCTTGAAGCTCCAGCTGAGACTGATAGACAATCACTGCACTGCTATGAATTTTACCTTCCTCAGCTATTTTTGCCACAGTGCTGCATCTTTAATGCATCCTGCTTCTGTATCAGGCACTGCAGCACAAGTTTCATCACCAGCCATCAGAGCCTGCCCTGAACATCTGTCTCAAAGTCACCAATGCATGCTGAAGTTTCCAGTGTGCTGTACATTGATGATGAGAACAAAGGTAGCTGTACTCATCTTTAACTCTACTACTTTGGCATATAAATGAATGTTGTGGCTTGTGTGATTCTATAGCAAAGGGAAAGAACAAGGAAAAGCATGTAGATGGGCTTTCTGGTATGTTTGTAATTCCATTTCTTTTTCATGCAGTATATAACATAGATCTATGTATGGGTGGCAGGTGATGCAGTTGCACTGTCTTCAAGGTGATGGGTCATAGTCAGTTATTTTGCACCACTCAGAGTTCATTCCTGGATCCCAAAAAATGGGCCTTCTTTTTTAACCTGATCTGAAGGGTTTCTTTGACCACATACAACAGCTCTGCACCAGTATCAAGTTAATTTATTCCCGTAGCCTCGAAACATCCAGTTATTCAGAAGATGGTGGTGAAGAGAGGCATTTGTATACAGGAATGACGCTAGAAACTCTTGATGGGGTCCAAAATGCTGTTGCTCGCACCTCTGGCAGCTATTGCATGCTCGTCACTGTCATATTCACTCATCACACGCACTACCTTTCCTTCATAGTCTATCTTTCATCGTTACCTATGGAGGTAATATATGAAGAAACTTCAAAACTTAAAGCATGGTCCGTTTGCTTCAATACAGGATGTAACCAGGAGGAAAGATGCCGATGAGCCGTCGGCTGAGGTAGGATGGACTGCTTTATGTACGGGTATGTCTGCTTCAATGTTCGACGATGGTGGCATTAAACATACTCTACCTGGCGTTAGGATTCTTTATTCTCGACATCACCAGAACTTTCCATTTACGAAACGGTATGTATTTGGGTTACATCAATTCTATCTTTCGATGCAGTGTGTCGCAAACTACGAATGATCATGGTCTCCAGCATGGATCTGCGGCAGTAAATCAAAAACCTGAATCTAATGCTCCTGATCCAACTGACTCTCGAGCCATCCTAACCACGGAGTCCATCGTGCATCAAGCGTAGAGACTATCCTCGCAGCTTGGTCGCCCCATTGTTTCTTCGCCCACCACGGGCTATCCTGAGTGAGCCCTTCATCATAACACAGTAATGTACAGATATGATAAGCGCACGACGCCTCTACTCTTCCAGCAGACGAAAGAACATCGATATTGCGGCCGTATGATATCTTCTGTCACTGCCACGGTACACTATATGAAGTGCCGATTCAGTGCTTGTCACTAGAATTTTGCGGGGTAGCACTAAAAGGCGATAACCAAAAAAACCAGTCAATATTATTTCGCATACAAAACTATTTCGCGTGTGCAATGGTTTAAACGTTGGACAGTTTCCCATTTTGGAGAAGATTAGGACTCACAGGACTCAACTGCGACTCAGAATCCAAGCAGATTCCCCTCTTTCACAATACATGGGACTGCAATAGACCTCCTCGTTCAATGGTGTCCATCCCTATTATAACAAAACCAGACGCCGGTCGAGAACTTCAACGTTTTGACTATTTATGCGGAGACTACAGGTCCATATTAACATTTCACCAGCATGTCTGCCCAGGGAATATACCCGTAACACCCAGAGTCGAAAGTCTGGGGCACGTCGTTTATATATAATTTGCTAAATGTAACGGCCAGGGGGGCCGGGCAGTGCAAGGTAGTGAGATTAGGGAGCAGAGTGGCAACTGTAGGCATGAACGAATCTTCAGTCGGCGTAAGATTTGGCAGTAGCGGTCACAGAGGCAGAAAATATACTACTCGTTAACAGATCTACATCTGGGACAACGAGAATCAAGCCAAGCTGAAAGGCAGATAAATGAGGGCTGTATATAAAAAACAGCGAGATTAAGTTGGTTGGCCTGTGTCACGCTAAATCTAGGGGCATTCGATGACATAGTTATGCCGTCCCGTCTAGATTCGTCGCCCTTTCGTGGAGGTCAATTCGAGCTGCTGTCTCAAATCAGACTAATATTGATTCACATCCGCAGGTAATTTGGACATCGCGGCTCGAACCATCTGTGTCGATGTCTCAGTCTGAAACAGGATCTGGATTCATCCCAGTCAGACCTCAAACTCCTTTGGTCGTGGATATGAATGTCATACCTTGATTCTCAACCCTAAAAACTCTACAACCCCTCTCAACGATCCTGCTCACTCAAACTGCCCCTTTCGAATCGCCTCTTTCCCGGACAACATTGACATTCATACCTCTTTCACTCAACTGCATATCAGGAAATTATGTATGTGCTATTCATCTGCCACGGCTGCAAAACAGTGCGCCTCGACTGCGACCCCACCGCTGTATGTCAGTGTGGTGAAATCTGGTGTCCCCAGATGTGCAAAGTCACGGTACGTGGCATCCAGTATTCTCTTACCAACGAAAAACTGAAAATCGTGAATCCAGTCCTTTCGAAACCATATCACGGACGCCCCACATCCACAACACAGATTTTACGATCATTATCCAAGAATAGGTCAGGAAACAGTGTATCAAGATCGAGAGAACAAGTGTATTCAAGGTCTCATATTTTAACAACGCCGCACGCCTTCACCTCGTTCTCGTATCCTGAAATTCAAACTAACGGCATTAGGCTCTACTCCTATAGAAGTTCTTCTCACGTTCGTATTCCGACGCGGAACCAACGGCGAGATACTGGACTGCATACCGCAGCTGAATGACTTCTTTCCTGCAGACGAGCTCGCCCGTCGAAGGGTCGGTAGACGAGGCAGGGACTCGCCATTTGAGCTTTGGTACCACAAGAACCAAATGCAGCTGGGCATCGAAGAGCGCAATTCCGTGAACGACACGATTGTCGGTCTGACCGGTTTTGTTCAGCGACAGAAATTATGGTATGGTCCAATCATCGCTCTAATACTCCAGAGAGACGTGAGTCAGTTGGAATACACAAAGGCAGAATACCATCACTTGGACATTTTCAGAACTTTCTTCAGGAGTTGTCCAAGTCCCGGTCTCGTTTATTGAGTGGGAAATTAATGAGAACATGTACCATATAGAGGCTAGTCTACTCAAAAGTGGTAAACTGTCTAATGTTTGCATGAATGTACTGCGATAGTGGGGGAATATAGCTCCTGTCAGCTGGAGAGATGAGGTCCCTTGATGTAAGATAATATCATCCCCAAGCAAAAGATCAAAGTGCACAGATTTATGCTTGTTGATGATATTACCAGAAATTATGGTACAGTCCTGTCATCACTGTAATACTCGAGAGAGACATGCCAAGTCCGAGCGAGTGCTGAAACTGTTTGCTCAAAATGGATATGGTAATTGACATGTCGATTAAAAGTCATGATGGCACTAGGAGGAAGATCAAATGTGGCGGGCCATGCAAGGTGATGAGATTAGAAAGTAGAGTGGTGGATATATCAGTGCATAAATGTTGAGTTGACATAGAGGTGGGCAGCATAGACAACAGAGGCAGAATGGGAAAGAGAGATAACTGGCTGGATGTCATGGATGTGGAGAGAAGTCAGGTGCATGTTGGGGTGGCAGAAAGTGGCAGATATGGAGAGTTGTCATCATCATCATTGCAAGAGATCCATATGATTTAATATTTAAATGATGGATCCAAACCATCAATTAAAATGTCTTAATGTACATATCCTACCATGTGACAGTGTGTTATATCACTACCATCAGCCAGTCATGTGACCCTTCAATAAGTAAATACCTTGCTCATCATCATGTCCATCGCACATCACTTGTGATACCACCCCTGATCCTTTCTAGAAATTCCCACATCTATAAATATTGATAGTCTAGATCTATCATCAAAATTGATCCTTTAATGTGTTGGTCTACCTTGAGTGCCTAGATCAATCACTGGTTCACCATTACTTGCCAAATAGGGTTGCATCATGTATTTCCACCAATCCTGCCCATTTTTCTATGAAATAATGTGTTTGTCCCTTTACACATAGCATACTAGATGAAAGTCAATATATTATATATTCTACAAATTACAGATAAACAGGAAAGCAGAAAAGCAAGAAAGCAAGAAAGTCCAAAAAAAATAGGCTCTGAGCACAAGAAAGGCATTGCATTGAAAGCAATGTGACTATTACCTGGATACACTTATCAACATCTACCACTATTCCCTTTCAAAGCATTCTATCTTTAGCCTTGAGAGAGACCCATACCAGTAGCATCTCCCTTGGTTGATACTACTTTTTGACTTGAACTAAGCATATATGCAGCAGCTCTATAAACAGGGATTATGTACCTTTCATAAGACCTAGCACTACTTTCAGCATGAGCTTAACATTGTTCCTCAGAGGTGGTATACTTGCATGAATGGCTGACTGAGGATACCATCATAATTGACACTAGCATTAATATAAGTAATGGATTCATTGGATTGCACAGGTCCTCATCTGATGGAAATTCCACAACCAACATTCAGGTGAAAGTTGGATATCATCTCAAAGCTATCATGAATTGGTGTATATTGGTATAAAAACTGAGGCAAGAGGCCATATAGTCAGCTGTTAATCACAGCTGACTTTTTCTGCAAGCCATACCTATTATCTCCATGCTGGGTGTGCCAAATGAATACTGGTACAGTTTCTGTGGGTAATGTCTTTCTTTGGTGATGTGCCTGATGGCATAAATGAATGCATGTCATGATCCTTTTTGATTTGAATTGGTTGATAAATGGGGTCCTAGATTTGAGAATTGAATGGTGTAAAGATCATGTAAGGGTGCATCTCTAGAGGGAGGAGACAGACATTGATAGTATTGCAGCAGAAAGTGAGAATCCTTTTGTTCAATAAATGTTTTACATAGAAATCACAGGTTTTATTCATATGGACATCACTAAAATGAATAGTCTACAGTGACAAGAGGGAAAAGATTACATTGCCAAAGGTTTGATACAACATGCTTAAATCCCACTGGAGAGAACTGTGGTGAGAAAAATCAGTGCATGTACCACTATGAGATTTGTACCTGAGTGGGCCCAATTTGGGCTTGCCCCTGGTGTGATCCAACAAGCAGCATTTTTGGGAGCAGTCAGGAACCAAGGCACAGGATATGTGAGCTCATCATCATCAATGGTGACTAGGGCAGGTAGAGCAACCCTATGACCAGTGAGAACCTAATTTGGGCAGCACAGTAGAGTATATATCATTGTGTCACAGTAGAATATATTGATTAATACATTTTCATTTACAGTTTGGAACCATGGATGATATATCATTCCACTATGGACTAGTGGTCATTGAGGAGCACAGGCAATATTGTCTTGGAGTGACTGCTACATATTATCAGCAGGCTCGAGATCCCACCTTGGTGCAAATTTGACCTCGAGGGTGTGCTCAGCCTAGTTGATGCCTGGGGAGCCAGAAGTGCAGTGGACATTGTATGCACATCTATCACTGCTCCCATGTTCTTGAGAGAACTACTCAGGTATGTATGGGATAGCAACTAGGTTTTGGTGGGAAGAGGAAGCTCAGCTCACATCAAAACATACTCTATCCTTGTCTCTCCATGAGGAGCAGTACCAGGAGGCACTGCAGCAGATCCTGACATGGTCATTGGTCAAGTTGCTGAGGTGTTGGACCTAACTAACTTCAACATGAAGGTAGCTAGTGGCTCTGGCCAGAAATTCTGGGATGTCTCAAGACTGCAAGATGTTTCTCCTGACCAGCAAAGGTGCAGGAATGACTAATTGTCCTGCTCGATGCCTTGATGAGCAAGATCCCTTGGGCCAGTCTTGCAGTGGCTGGATGCTGAACCCCACATGGTGGTGGTTCTTGATCAAGGGTCCTCTCTCAATTCAATATATTGCATGACATGTAAAATTGGGTTTGTCATAAGAATTCCAACTGAAAAGCTGATCCTTCACTGGAAAAATTCTGAGAAATGTTCCTGAGAACCTCAGGAGGGCGTACAGGGATATAGCGAGGATCATCGATAATGGTGAAATGGCCCTTGTTGACTGGTAGGTTTGCTTGACAGCTGGCCTTGCTGTTCCTGTTACCGTAGCTCATTCTAAGGTGACTGTCATTTTTTAATCTGATTCTTTCCTTCTCTCTTTCAAGTAACTGCACAGCGGGCGTTTTGTATACTCGTACTTTCCCCGGGACATCGAGTCTGCATGTATAAGTATCTGTAGTTGGTTCAATATTGGTGCGTAGTTATGACTGCGTCGATCGTTTTCTTTGTTGTGCCAAATCCTTAGGTTGAAACAGCTATCAAAACTCACCCTCGCGTTCTCGACCTCTCCTTCTGTAATATTCCATAGGTAATGATATAGTCTTACTGTGCAAGACCAATATTTCATCTGACAGCGTTTGGGGATGGACTCTGTGTTAATACATAACTTGCTTATATATTGTGTTTTTGTACTGCCATAATTCTTCTTAATAACAGTCCATCTCGATTATAGATGATTTCTTACCCGCCACAACCGACCTCATTCTACTTTGTGTTCCCTACCCAGGGCTGAAGGCCACTTTTACGAAGATTATGTTAGTTTTCCAACATTTCATTGCCATAGCCTCTGACCCCGCTAGGGCAGGCCTGAGTGAGGGGGTGGTCTGGCCTCTGCGGGGGGTCTCTCTAGGTCGTGGCAATGTTCAGCAGGATTTAGGCAGGATTCTACTTCACGTCAAAGATGTCGTCGATGGACAGGAGTATAATACAGCTCTAAATGTTTTACATTGAATAGATGTGTGAGTCGATCATGAGAAAATAAATTGTCAGACTTTTCGAGTCAAGTGCCCGGGGGCGCTAAAAAAAAAAAGCGCGGCGTGTGTGTAATGGTGATTCTAACCACTGATCCTTATCCCAATGCTGTTTATTTCTTGTTTTGTATCTCGGCTAGCACACGGTGGGTCTCAATGAGCGCTACCATGCTGTGCCCCGTTACATGGATCTACCACACGCCATAGCCTCGCAAATTGAAAAGTATGCATACCAAGAAGTCTATCTTCAAGGAGTCGACGCGTTTTCTGTAACCTTGGGTGGAGTCTTTGAGGTCGTTGATGTTAAGAAAGCCCTTGATTCCGCCATGTTCCCGCTGTGTATCTTTCAGGTCTTCGGCTATGCCGGTGAGACACCTGCCGCTTGACAATTAGCTGTGGAGGAAATACGGTACATGAGAGTAATGGCATACTGTTCCATGTCTGTGGAAATGTCCTTGAAATACACTGGTTTCCCATGCGTACCGACAAAGTTTTGGATAATATAGATTGTGTTGGTGATGCTTTTGCAGAGCTTCTTCATGTCCTCTTTATTCTTTAGTTTAGAGGTTCAGGCAAGAGTGCCTGAACCTGTACCGAACCGAACCCTGCTCTATCTAAACTAAAGATGATTTCCAATCATAAAATGATGAAACTAAATAGGCTGTTACGGTATATCCTGTCGCAGGTCGGGAGGGAGCACCATAAGAAGAAAAAGAAAAATAAATCTTCCGACAAGAGAGTCTTCAACCTGGAATCGAACCCTGGTAGCAAGGAATAAGCCCACAGTGTCATCGGCAGGTACTTTAGCACAACTGATGGGAGGGAAACACCCATGGTAAACCAACCATAAAGCTCCTCGCCTTCGTCTGATTCTTCACCAAAGGGTCGAACGTAGGTATATCATGAAGCTTCCACATGGAATAAATCTGCCTGTGACTAGGTATTTTTTAATGAAGAGAAAGATGACATCCGCAATAAACATTCAAATTGACAACTCGTATGCGGAAAACTGGGAGGAAGAAAACTGATATCGATTATAGATCATTTTGATGTCATTCCCAGCCCGACAGCCGTGACACCATGAAATGAGCCCGGCGGAGGGCACCTGGATGCTGCTGATGAATGTCGTGGCATACAGAAAATCGGGACAATTTGCAATAAACACTATTTGGTCACGAGATAGATCGGGCGACAGCGCTTGGACATGGACTTTATCCTTCTCGCCGACGATGTGCTGATCTGCACCATCGCGTTTCTCTCTGTTCCAGATATTCTGCGACTCCGTCAGGTGAGGCTCTCTTTGGCCTTAATTCCTGGATGCTGATTTTTCAGAAGTGTAAACGGTTCGACGCAGTGACAAGGCTACCAATCATATGGACCAACGCCTATAAGCTCAACATTCTGTCCAATGACTATCTTTTCCTGCTCGATGATATCGATCTTGAACAGCGCACGCTACACGCATACCGACTCGCGTCACGATGGCTCCCTGACTGTTCTCTGTCACCCAAAAGCTAGACGATGTTAATGGGCTCACCTGTATCAGAGATCAAGTTCATCCCAGGGTGGCAGCACAAATGGCTGCTGACCGCATCCAAGGGGCCACGGTCAATCCTAACGATCTGGGACTCGTGGAGGCGCACAAGTGCTCGAAATGGTCCCACACCGGAACGGCGTTGGATTCAGGGATGTGACGGTTAACAGCGGAACGAATTCCTTTGCTGGGAAGTATGAGTATCACACCTCATTATTTAACGCACGGATCTCCTACCTTTCCACTTCCGTACAGAAAAGATAGGTATGCCACAGATTTCCAATGAATTTCTGTGGGGAATCGAACCGCCGACCGGACCACCTCGACCACTCGGACGTTATCCTTCCTCGTTTCAACCTTCTTTCACATGAAACATCTAGTTCGTCTGAACGACAACGTTTCCTAGGAGCAGAAGCCTTCTCCCCTGCCCTATATTGGAATTTCAGACCACCAAAAACCTTATTTTCGACATCTGCTCCAAGACGGAAACGTCGTTCAGTAGCAGGCAAGCAGGAATGGCCATCAGACGGAAAAGTCAGTACACAAAAAAGAAGTATATGCGTCGACCTTTGCATGTCCCCTAGGAGTACGTAGTTCATATTGCCTGTTTCTTTTGAATATCACACGTTTCAGGCCCCTTGACGGCCATTCGAAGGATCGGGTGCATAGCAAAGGTATGACAGCCTCTCGATGCACTTTTTCATCATTCTGAGATTCTTTGTCAGGGGAGAGCGTCAAGCGCGTTGCTCGAATCGAAGATAACACAAAGACTCACTCTGCATAGGAGCACACAAACACCGATTGCATTGCAATTTGGATAGTCCGATATCGGATCCAAGTTTCGACCGTCATGCGACGGGTTCATGTTCACGCTCTGGTGTGCAATTTCCCGTTCACCTATAATGCTTGATTCCTAACGCGTATAATTGTGTGTAGCATTCAGTTATGTCCACAGGGTCTCTGTGCAATGAATGTCTTTCCTTTGTCTCGCTGCAGCCAATGGGATGATCATGTTGATGCGACTCGGATTCCCGGAGGGATCATGCGGCAACGGGGCCATCAACAAATGCTCACCCTGCGTAAGCGCCAGACTGTCTTCTCTTTCTTCCTTCACTGCCTCCACGATGGCGTCTCAAGACGTCGCAGCTAGATGTTACCCGACGTTCAATACTCCAGGCGCCGACGCCGTTCTATCCTCGCTAGACAGTACTTTATACCGACTGCCATCATTCGTCTTGTGAAGGTCGACCACGTTCCTCGATTTGAGCTCCTTCACTTTCGGACGAGACAGCGAGCCGATCCCCATCCATTAACAAAAGAAGAAAGATCTAAGGTTGGTCAGGCCATCCAGCCGTAAGGAAAAGATAGAGAGCGAAGGCCGTCCATTCTAGCGAGTACTCTCAATATAAGATGCATCCAATTCTGCGGAGATGGCCACCCCGAGACGCAGAGGGTATGTGAGGTCCCGCCATTTGACAAGGTGCATCCACAGTGTGTCATCATACCTAACATCCGACATGTAGAGCTTGCCGCACGAAAGGGTCTGCGTGGCACAGTGAAATTAGCGAAAGATCAGGGATCAACGAGCATGGGAGAAATGAGAGAATTGTAGAGAGCACTTCCAACAGGAAAGGCGACGCTCATCGCGTCTGTTGTGTCAGGTGATAGGCAGGGAGAGGTGGAACCGGAACTCGATGAGCATGCATAACACTCCTCGATAGACGGGCCAATTCTGGATGGCCTACAAAGGTCATACAATGAAGAAGATGCCTTGCTCTTTTCCTTATTTTCTGACACGAACTCTCCCATGATCCACCAGCCTCTGCGACACCTTCAAAGTAATCGACATCCCCTTCATCACCTGGTTTCCTGTGTCGCAGCTAGAGGAACACCGTCGTTGTCTCCAAGACCGTGTATCCATTTCCGGCGCTGCTGTTTGTTTCCTAGGATGATATCCAGGGAGAGGCGAATGAATTTATGATATCCGAGAACATCGCAGACTTGCATAAAGTGCAAGGAGATCTGATAGAGATGAGAGACGCATGAGGAATGTCTGCCGCAAGCACGTTCATGAGACATTTCTTTCCACAACAACATCTATGTATCGACAGTTCCTAGATGCTTCGTAGAGTTCAGGAGATGCAATGGATCAGTGAAAGAAAGCGAGCGACAAGGAGAGAAGGACCCGCCCTAAACTGATGTGACCGGCTCGAAATCGCCATAGCTGCTCGTCTTTCACATCCTTGATTGTTTCACATTACTGGATATGATTCGCAGTACATTATCCCCTTTGAAAGTTGGAGGTGGTGGTTGAAGGGAAGAAAAGATGGACATATGATCTTCAATGATCGGTTCTTCGTAAGAGGTATACCGCAACGTCCAGATATCACTGAATACTCATGGAACATGGTACTCGAAAGAGAGACAGAATAAGACAAAGCAGAGGGATGCATCCATCGTTGTTCGTGATGGCAGCAGTTACTTCAACAGACAACTCTTCATGATGAAGGACCTCGTGGCTCACAAACTCATCAGCAAGTGTCATTCCTTCGATAAATTCCAGGATAGAATGCTGGTGTACTTCTCATTGGGCGTTATGAACTACAAAAAGTTCAGCATTGCAGTCCGTGGAAGTACAACGTACCTTGTATTTCCGATAACAACATGGCCATCTGGAATGGCGCTCAAAACCAGCTTTATCTGAGAAATGATGAATCCGCCTTAGTTGTACATGACTGGTCCTGGAAATACTCTAATGCTTGGTGTCTCGTCCACAGAGAAGAATTTTCTCAGAAGCCGTCCTTATCATGTTCTTAGACAAGTTCGTCCATTCAATAAGCTGAGTTCATCTTGCAATGCCATCGTGAAACAATGGTAAGTGGCTTCAAAGATCAGTCGAGAGTGACCAAGCTTACCGACGGAGGTTCGCAAAGTAGCACGGCTTTCCGTACAGCCCTGGATCCGCACAAGTGACAGTTGAAAGCTGTTAAGGATATATTCGACAGCCATTCGTAAGAATGGTGATAATCAAATTTCATAGAAAAACGGACACCGAGAAATATTATTTGGAAGTCCGTAAGCGAAAGTGACGGATGACTACTTGATGAAAATGGAGCACATTTATTTATATGGACACCCCGGGATAAGTAAGGTCGCCTCCTAGAGGGCTCTCCTTCTCCGCCCATTCGAGGAGATCGTCATAATGATCTAGACAAACAGCGTCATCAATGTCATGACTGCTCTTCATTCGTTATCTCTGAGTTCCTTAATCTTTTTCTCGGTCAAATCAATATTTCATCTCGGAAAATTGATGAACCTAACGTTCGTCAAGCCATCAGTAACGAGGATGTTTTGTGGCCCTACGTCTCGATGCAAAATTCCACATTTGTTGATCACGGCAATACCACAAAGCGCTACTTTGGCTTAGAACATAGTCAATAACGAGGGTAAGGGTCTGAGAAAAAGCTAATATATACCACAGCTTTAGCCTGGTTGAGCATGGTATTATAGAAGGGTAGACTGTTCCTCGGATCGTCGGCGTCGGCGTGCTCGGTAAGAATTCATACCATCCTTCGAGGGACATTCCATGGAGGTGCTCGGGGATTAGCACATGAGGGACTTCCCCATTCATCATCACCAGTTATTCGAACATCATGAATCGTCGGCTAAGACATCACGAAGGAAATACACCTTGTGCTTGCCATAGTAGGACACAAGCACTGTTTCCTGTAGGTCATTCAGTTCGTTATAAGCATAGTTCTCACAGTCAGCCAGTTGTTTCAGAGATACAGCGAGAGAAAATGGCGTGCGATATATGACTGGTAGGAGCAATGCTCGGAAGATGTTCAAAATAACAGAGCCATGAGTCTCGTTGGAAGCTCATGTTCTAACATCTTCAGCACAGACAACAGACTAATGAGCTTCAGATTCCAAGGAGGGCTGCAGGACTTCGGTGACGACGATCTCATAATCGCTACCATTGTGAGAAAATGGGAGAGGTTGGCGGCCGCCCTTGCGCCTAGCTTTAGGCGGAAGGGTGACATCGAAGGAATCTCTGACGCATAGATATCTCTCATGATTCCAGGCCTGCCAGAACACAGCTAGTTGATCATAGTACTGCTTTTCCGCAATTGGTTCTGAACATTTTAGTCTTCCCCGAAGTGAGGGACTGTGCCACCAGAGAGGGAAATGCCTGAGATCGTGAAAGCGTTAATACGTGTGTCAATGTAAACGAAGCACCCAAAGGCCGTCCTTTTAGTAAACCTTTTAGGCGGAGTTCAAGTGTACATGCATCACACACGTCTTTGCAGAATGGCACGGATGGCTGATCTTAAATGACGCTGATGACCTTCTCGCACGTTCCGGGAGAGCAAACATTTCTTCGACCTCCTCTTTCTTTACTTTCACTGTGTGGGTTTACACATAAATTGGACACCAGGATAGCTTTAAAGAGGTCGAAATCCTTAACAGAGTGGTGTAGAGATTGTCATAGACTGGCCAAATAAAGCACAAGACGGCACAAGGAAAAGCACAAGATGCTGAGAGCCTCGTTGGATGGCGAACACAGGGAGGAGGGAAGAGTCGTGAGCGAAGGAGGAAGACGGGGCCTCTCCACTCCATTGGGAAAGATGACGCATTCGAGGGAAGGACATGCGGCTGCTAGATGAGTACACATGCACGTTCGTTGACGACCATCGAGTGACCCGACCTGCTCATCATTCACAATGTCGACCGCATCTGAGTTCCTTTGGGAAGAGGAACCTCTCGACGAGTTCGGCTTCTCCTTCATGCTGAGTTTATGCATGATCAGAGAGAACTTTGAATTGAGGACCGACATCATGCAAGCATTTCTCGCCATCCTCTCCGTCAATATGGAGTCCCTCAATGGCGGGATATACGACAACGGCACTGCGGAGTGTCTTTTCCTCGGTACGCTTACCCATGGATTTGAATGCGAGTTTGAGGTGGCGAACCGAGGAAGGGAGTGACTACCGTGTAGTCATACGTCCGAAAACCCGCAGACATTGGGATAGAGATGGCGTTAGATACCGTTGACGAGGGGACGAGAGGGCGCGAGGAGGATGATCAGATGTGGTGGACCTGTCGCAAGGTTGGGGGGAAGGGTGGCGGCGGTATGCGTGAAGGAAACTTGAGTCGGCGTAGAATTGGCGGGGAGGTGGCGAGAAAGGCGGCATCGGAAACAGGGAGAGTCGACTTCGTGTGGTGGGCCCAGAAGAGGTCCGGCGAACGTCGGGATGGCCAGAAGTAGTGTAGATAGTGGTGATTTGTCATCGTTGGGAGCGTTGCCACGGTCCGGTTCCTCCGAGACCACGGGTTGCATTGCCACAGATTCCCGCTTCGTAGCTACAACGAAGACTATCACTAGCTATTCCCGATTCCCTCTCTTGGACCTAGCGATACAGTTCCATCATCATAAAGGAGTGATTGAAAGTGCAAGAAGACAACATTAATCTGTCCATCCAGCGACATGAGAAGGTTTTCCTGGTCCTGACTGAAGAGATGAGTGGTAGTGTACAACGTGGATATTAAATGATGGGAGAGATAGAGAGCGGGCTATGAGATACAACCTTGTCTATGGAATGGTAATTAGGGGACACAGAGGGTGGGCATTAGAGACATGAGGTCCTCCCGTATGACACGAAACACTCACAGCGTGTCGTTTGGGCCAACTATCCCACATCTTGAAATTGCTGTAGAGAGAAAGTCATGAAAGATTAGTGCGATAGTGGCACAGACGAGCGTGTTAGGAATGGAAGGGTTGTGACGGTTGCTTCACCGGGAAATAGGCAGGGAGAAGCAAGAGCTGTACGCAATACTCATGGATGACACTTGCATGCCCCTCGATCTACGGGCCAAGTCCAAATGTCCATCGTTGACTCACTCGATGACGCAGACACTTTGCTCTTCTCTTCATCATCCTTCATTAGGTTGATTATCGTCCTCTGTCTACGACAGACTAGGTATGCAACTAGCACATTTAGATATCTTCGCTTCGTTTCACCCACAAGGACTTCCTCTTTGTCGTTGATGGTTATTGCAACCCTAGGAAAGAGACGGACAGATGAAAGGGCTCGATAGTAAAGAGAGCGACAATAAAAACGACCTGCCGTATACAGTGACGTGACCGGGCCGATGTAGCCGTTGACAACTTCTGTTTCTCCCGCCCTCTCTGCCCCTTCTTCCATATTTTACGTCCCTGAATACAATTCGCCGTGCATGGTTCTATTTACAATTGATAACAACGCACTATCTTTCCCCTTGAATCCACAGTTATCTTTCAATAATTGCATGTACTGTCACTTTCATGGTTTGCACTGGTTTTCCTTAGGACCACATCTCCCTGATGATATACATACAGGCTCTGAATAGCGCCTTGGGCTTGGATAGATAACGCGATTGTTAGCTAACTGGGACTTCTATCTATAAGTATAGTTCGACCTCATGGCTTCCTCGTACCCGACATCCAGTTTTAATCGACTGCAAAGCATCAACGTCTGTCTTCCGCCTCGCTAATATAAGTTGTCGACATGGGACTATCTGAAAAACAGCATAGAGGCATCCACAATCTCCAGGTACATTACTTCTGCCCTTACAATACTCGAATCTCACTGAGCATGCGACTGTAGTACGTCTGCGATACTCCTTGGTCCAATATGCCCTTGTATTTATAGTTATAAAGGTGGATCTATTTTTTCGCTTGGGCAGATGCGAATAATCGTGGCCTAAACGTGTACGCTCGTTGCTTGTGCTCATTACTTCACTGTTAGTTTCAATGCTTAATATTTATCTGACCCTGAGCCACTTTCTCCTGTGGTGAAATCAATCCTCTCATTTTCCTGAGCATCACTTTCTTCATACCAAAAATGCCGGGCTTCCTTTAATATCATTCTGATTCAAATCCAGCACACTCTAGTTCCTTCCAGTGTAAATTCGCTGGTTACCTCCCACATACCTAGCACTTCTTTTTGTTAACATCAGATGCTGACTATTTCTCTGTCAAATTCTCCAAGGGACCATCAAGCATCCAGAAACAGAAGGTCTGGGTCGTGAGGTCTACGCCTCACGAATCTAAAAAGAAGCGGGGTGTACATATTATAGTTTGACTAATTGTAGTTTTGGCTGTGAAATGAAAATTCGTTATATTCCACAGGTCTCCTTCGTGATGATGAACAATCCAGCTTAAACGAGCTTGTATGGCCGATAACTTCTCCCTGCCTCGCTGGCAAAGTCAACGAGATTGTTCCAAATTCCAAGTGGAAAACAGAGGAACATCAGCACCAGGTCAAAATATCAATCTCGTGAGTCGTTAGGCCATAATTTCTCCATCATTGCATTAGTAAACCATACATTACATGTGGCAAAGTGATCTAAACGATGTGCTTCAGACATTCGATGATGGGTGTAACGATTATATTCTCTGGACCGACATTCCAATGCAATGTTAATAGGGAACTTGTAGTCTCTGAGGAAGTAGCTAAGATGTGGAAATTCGGACCAGCCTCGATGGCCAGGTCTCCTGTGTTTAAAGATCTCTCGCAGTACCACGCACTATAAAAGGTAGCGAACTCCTTGTAGTCTGACTCGCAGTCGACTGAAAAGCAGTAAACTGTCTAATGTTTAGACGACTGCGCTGAGATCGAGGGAGAAGATATCTCGTGTGAGGATGCTGTAAGGGAATATCATCCACAATGCGTAAGGTCATAAGGCAGATATTTCCGACTCCTATTCCCCCTCAATCAGATTCGTGGCAGCCAGAATGCGTGAAAAACATCTGCTTTGAATGGTTTCCCTCAACAAAATGGACTCTAAAATATATATAGGAACTAGCTACTGTATGATAAATGGTCTCATTAATGTCCCATGAACCAGGGACCGGTAGAACTCTGGAAAAATCTTACGAAGATACTCGATGAATAGTACGGTGCATTTGTGTACTTCTTCGGAAAAGCATCTTTCTCGATTGTTAGAGCGACCACTGGGCCGTACCATGAATTCTGTCTCTCAACAGAACCGGTGAGACGGACAATTGTGTCATTCACAGAGTTCGGATCTTGGATGCTCAGCTGCATTTGGTTCTTGAGGTACCAAAGCTCAAATGGTGGGTCGTCCCCATGTCCAGCGACCGTTCGACAGGCTAGTTCATCTGGAGGGAAGAAGGAATCCAGCTGTGGTATATAGTCCAGTATCTCGCCGTCGGTTCCGTGTTGAAATCCGAAGGTGACAGTTACTTGTATGGTAAAAGCGTCTAACGCATTTATTTTGTGTGTGAGAGTACCAGGACCAGCTGAAGACGCACTGTTTCCCGGAAATATGACACCTCGAATACTGTTGTTCCCTGGATGGTGATACGCTATTTCCCGATTGATGATTGGACAATGGTCATAAAATCTGTGTTGTAGATGTGGGGCGTCCGTGATATGGTTTAGAAAGGACTGGATTCAAGATTTTCAGTTGTTCGTTGGTAGGAAAATACTGGATGCGACGTACAACGTCTTTGCATATCTGGGAGCACCAGAATTCACTACACTGACATACAGCGGCGGGGTCGCATTCGACGCACATTGTTTTGCAGCAGTGACAGATGAATAGCAAATACATAATCGCCTGATATGCGGTAGTCTGGCGGTAGAGTCGATAAGGTGTGAATGATAGTGTTCGTAATGTTGAGATTTGAAAAAGGCGGTTCGAGAGCAGGATCGTCGAGAAGCGCTGTAGTAGACTGTTTAGTGTTGACAATCAACGTGGGACTCTGAATTTATATACGCCGTCGAAAACGGTGCGACTCGATCAGAACAACAACAAACGCAAACTCAACACCTTGCAGGCGAAATAGGTGTGTAAGCGAAATCTTGACTCGTTTTTTGTCTTTGCCTTCGAATGGGTGCTTCATGTAGTGTACCGTGGCGGTGACAGAAGATATCACGTGGCCACGCTATCACGAAGTCAGTCATTACATTTTGGGACTTTTGCACGTTCACCGGAACCACGATGGCGATGGCTGACATCGGCCACCTTCTCTCGTGAGTGACAGTGATACATTCCATATACTATAATAAATGCATTATGAATCACTTCCACAGCAATGAGCTGGGAATGGAATGACTCGTGCTTCCTTGCAGTTTTCGTTCCTTTCCGACGTCGACCTATGACTTGAGTGATGCAAGGGAACGAACCACTCTATCATTCAATCCTACTCCGTCTCTGCAACAGTAGAATTCACATCCCATCGTCCTTACGCTTCATTTTTTTGTTATCGCTCCTTGACAACGTTGCTCCACTGCCAAGTACATCTCCAGCGGGTTATTTTGCGCTCGTACGTACGAATTTTATTTTATATGTCTGGTAAGCCAATTCATCTCTTCGTTTGTTTCAAGCCCATCAAGACCAGGCGTCGTTACGTCTGGCGCTGCCGCAGGAAATCACTTAAGAGAGGACGCTCTGCAGTCGTACTCCTCTATCCTTCTTCCGAACACTATAATGCTCGCAAAGCTCTCATACTTGTCGCCTCTGTTGTCTCTCGTGCTATTCCATAGGCTCGTGTTGAGTTGCACACTGTGAAGATGGTTAATTAGTCAGTACATTACCACCTTATGGATCCTACACTCTACTGACTGTTGTATAGATGTGATACCAGAGCTGTAAGTTCAGATTCGAGATTCAGCCCCCACTTTCTCATTATCCGGTCATTGTAGCTCACCCTAAGTCAGAATTTCACAGTTCTCTTGACCGGAACTGAATACACTGGCACGGGTCCCTTCGAATCGGCAATGGCGTGAGTTACTCTCCTTGTATCACTGATTCATTGGTTCTCATTTCTTAGCAGGCTCGACACTGATGACTGTGATTTTAATAACGAGTACTTTACCATCGTGGAAATGACTCTGAAAAATCCTACGGTGCTCGGGCAGGCTCTAATGTGGACCATTCGGTCCTACAACCGTAAGTCGTTATGTTGGGTTTCATATTTCACTGTTTATCAACGTTTCCAGAAACTTGTTCAATGTACCCACGTCATTCTCATACTTTGGCGGCTATGATGGAGGAGGAGAATTATGTGGGTGCTTCGTGTTCATAATTTATACAATGTCGTCCTGACTGCATTGTCACCTATAAGATGACGATGTAGTAGTCCTTATTTTCTTCTCCTGAGATGCTGACGTGCAATTCTCCAGGTCGGGTTACTGTCACTTTATACTAGATTCATTTGCTAAGAAATGTCATAAATAAAGCGGGCTGGTCCTTGTATCAGGTCCTTGAATTTCAGTATAGGCTTCATATGATGATGTATTATTTCAAGGACATATATTTGATCTTGTTCTGGATCCCTTCGATTTTCTGATTACCCTTATAAAATGGGATCGTCATTTGTGTTTTAAGCACTGTAGAGTCAACGACTAAGGATGATGCATAGTTTTCGCATTCCATAGAAAGAGATTACATTGATCTATCAAATCTGCTTCGGTTTCCGCATCAGATAGCACATAATTTCCTGTTATCCTGTTCTCCAATACAATCTTCCAGATCGATTGCCCCAGAATGGTTTGCCATTGTGGATCTGTCATCTATGCCAGTTCAGGTGCTTCATCACCACCACATGATCTGACCCTGAGATCAGCCATAATGTCAAGGACTTTAATGGCAGGATAATCTTCATTGTCTCCATGGTGAATATTCACTTTCAGAGAGATCAGAAAATGTTCTCAGAGGTATCAGTCAATATGCAGGTGCAGAGTACCAGACATGGTAGAAAGTTACTGGAAACTTCGACAGCCATCCATGCACACCCTTGGTTGTGGCACACAGCAGGCCAGATCAGTCTTCTTTAATACTTGCTGAAATGCCTGTCTCACAACTAGGTCTATCCCATGATATCTCTCCCCCCCTCTCTGACCTGGCCACTAATTTTTCCATCTCAGTTATCTTCTATGACCAAATGGAAAACTCTCATTGAACATATCTCCAATCAAAGTTCCCATTGTTTTGGACCATTGATCTCTTCATCAATGAATTGGTCAACCTTCTCAAGCACTTCAACATCCAGGATGGGTTTGACTTGCTCAGCCATTCATGGCATGGGATACTCAGTCTAGAGTTTGAAGTGTGCAAGCAGCCAGATGGATTGTGCCACTTGGCATGGACCAGCTCATTGGCTGATATGGGAATGTGGAATGCATTGACTGGAGAGCTCAGGAAGGCCTTCCTGGACAATGTACAAAAGGGACTGGTGGGAACATTGGCACAGTCCACTTCCTCTGAGATCACATGTTGCATTGCCATAGATTCCTGCTTGTCTGTAGCTACAACTGAGATCATCCATAGCTATTGCTGATCACCTCTTTTGGACCTAGCAATATGGTTCTACTGGCTGTTGGCATGATGGATATGAAAGCGTGTGGGCAGGCACTCAAAGTATTCTACAAGAAGCATGGATGTCTCATGGACCCATGGCTGGAAGAGCTGGTATACTCAATAGACCATTCAACCAGTCCATCAGCAGATATCTCTGCTGCATTTGAGATATATGTGGGGCATATTTCTCACTGCTCTTTACATGCTGAAGGTCTGCCTATAGGTTCACCAGAGAGCTTCATACATGGAATATCATCAATATTTTTGACCACATTCATGTTCCAACCTTTGTGATCAATGGACAAGCAGATAGGACTTTGTCATTGAGCCTCTCTTCTGAAGTTTTCAGCAAGTCAAGTGGGTAACCATAGAGAAACCAAGTCATACTTTCATGTGAGAAAAGCAGGAGAGATATATGGATCTGGTTAATAGATTCCTGTCAACATAATCCATCTATATATTGACTTTCCTTTCACTTACATTTCATGCTAGGCCAAAAAAATGACTTCTTCCAAGTGACCAATATGGACACTGAAGTCAGACCATGCAGTTCTTTCTCTGAGCAAAGTACTGAGCCTGCCCATGCAAGATATCAATCTCAAAGAGAAGGCAGAGAGTGGCATTAAGTGGTATGCTCCAAATATGAGAGACTTTCTAACTCTCCAATCTTTGGTTGATGATTCATCAGTCAATGAAAAAATGGCTTGTAATACATAAGATATCTGTATGCCTCTGCTTTCTTCCAATTGTACCAGGCTGGTAATGACATTTTATGCTGGATTGGGATAGGTAAAAGATTGTCCACCATCAAACTAAGTTCTTCACAATGTAAACTAGGTAAATAAGCTCTCAATAGAACTGTATTGCTATGTTCAAGAGAGAGAATCAGAAATGGCTGATGATAGTCTCAATTGTAGCTATAGACAAGCAGGAATCTACAGCAATGCAGCATATGATCTTGGAGGAACCAGACCATGCCAATGCTCCTATGTGCCCCTCTTTACAATCAGATGATGTCTCTGCATTGCCATCACCTACAGCATGCAAAAAAAGCCAAAATAAAGAGAACACCATATTCTGAACTAATACAGACCCTCCAAAGCATCCTGCAAATGGAATAACCATAGATCACCAGTCCAGTCCAACAAAGAAGCTTGTGTAGTCAACCTATGAACTCAGTGCAATGGTGCAGACAACTGAGATGATTGTTAAGTAAAGTGCTGTTGCACTGGCACTTGATACCTAGATCAGTTATATCCTATGCTATGCTGTTGCTGAATGGAGTTGTGCTTTGAGCAGTGTTGTAACAATGCAAATGGTTTCTGAACATTGAAGAGACACACAAAATATCTCTTGGTGGAGTGTTGATGAGATGAGAGGTGTTACTGAATGGATAGGAATGAAAGAAACATCATCTGCACAGCTGATGATGACCTCACATATTCTGTTCTTTAGTTCCTGACTGCTCTCCAAAATACTTGTTGGATCATGTCAGGGGCCAGGCTAGATCAGATCCACTCAGATACAAATCTCATAACAGTACATGCACTGGGTTTCTGATTTTTCTCATCATAGTTTTCTCCAGCAGGATTTTAAGTATGATGTATCAAACCTTCAGCAATGGGTATATAATATTTACTCTTATCACTGTAGATTATTCATTTTAGTGACATCCATATGAATAAAACCTATGATTTCTATGTAAAATATTTATCAAACAAAGAGATTCTTTCTGTCTGCTTCAGCATTATCAGTGTCTGTCTTCTCTAAACTATCCACTCATTGACATACTGCTATTTCCACTGAAAACTGGACTTGATGATAGTACATATTGCAGTCTAGCATTTTGTATATACCACTGCATCTTTGTCTGCATTGATGCATATCTCTTCTTTTGCAGCACCTTCAGCTCAGCTTAGCTACAGATTTGTGTCATGCTTGAGGGTATATCTGACATATTGCATATCAGTCTTCACCAGCTTACACTCCTCCCTCCAGCAATGTGCCATTGTGCAAGTCTTACACCATTCAATTTTCAAATCTAGAGTCTCATTTATCACCCAATCCACATTAAAAAGGATAATGATATATATTCATTTATACTGCCAGATATACCATCAAGATGGAAAGATCTTATTCACAGAAACTGGACTAGTATCTATTTGGCACATTCAGCAAAGAGATAACAGGCACAGCTTGTGAAGAAAGCCAGCTATGATTAACAGCTGACTATTTTGTCCCTTGCTTTAGTTCTTATACTAATGTACACTAATTCATGATAGCCTTGAGATGATATCTAACTTTCACCTAAATGTTGGTTGTAGAATTTTCATCAGATAAAAATCTGTGCAATCCAATGAATTTATTACTTACACTAATATTAGTGTTGACTATAATAATATCCTCAGTTGGCCATCTATGCAAGTATACCATCCCCATGGTGGAGACAGAGTATTCTCAAGGCCAAATATACAGTGCTTTGGAAGGAGATAGTAGCAGATGTTGATAAGTGTATTCAGATAATAGCTGCATTGATTTCAGTATGATGCAACATGTTTTTTGTGCTCAAAGCTCTTTTTTTAAAGACTTTCTTGTTTTTCTGCTTAATTTAGCTTCAATATGTGTAATTGATAAAATATGTCATATATTGACTTTCATCTAGTATATTATGTATAAAAAGACAAACATATTATTTCATAGAAAAACAGGCAGGATTGATAGAAACATGTGATATAACCTTATTTGATGAGTGTTGATGAACCAGTGATTGATCTAAGCACTTGAAGCACTGAGACATGCATGTAAGTCAATATTTGATAAAGATATTAAATGGTCAATTTTGATGATAGATCTAGACTATTAATATTTATAGAGATAAAAGCTTTTAGAAAAGGTTAAGAGAGAAGTTGAAATAGACCTTATCACAAGGGATATGGATAAATGTGACAATGAGCAAGGTATTCACTAACTAATTAAAGAGTCACATGAATAGCTGATGAAAGTGATATAACATTGTATTATATGATCAGACATGGACTTTAATATATATTGATTGATGATTTAGATCCATCCTTTAAATATTAGATCATATAGAGTCTTTGATTAGGGAGACTTGATTATGGATGATAGTACTAGTCTGGCTATGATCAGATAGCTGATATTTTAGCAATGTAAGTATCAGAAGGGATCTCCAATGTCTCTGGCCTATGAAGATGGACTATCAGCATAGGAGTTGATTGTACTAGCAAATGGATAATTTACCTTGCTCTATCATATTTTCCAAGTGCCAAACTGCACCAGTCTGATAGAGCCTATAGAAGAAATACTATCAAGATGTGGACAGAGAGAAGCTTCAAGGCCTGAAATACTATCTGTTCTATAGTTGATAAGTCATTTGACTCTGCAGTGTCTGCACTCAATGAACTATTATCTCTGGCTCAGAAATAATTTTTTGCAGTTGTTTGAATATGCAAAGGCATAAAAGAAAAGACCATCCAAAATCAGATACATAGACTATTTTATTGGATTATATAAAGCAAGGGAATTAGCTGGTGGCCTCTGAGTCAAGAGTTAAATGACACTGAGATGAGACTTTGATTCAGTCTGATTCATTGCTTTGCTTTAAATTAAAACATGCACATTATTAAAACTTCTCTTTTACTGTTACACTCACTATAGCTGATTCTGTTCAGTGACTAGATGACAAATCTAAATGTGAACTGATAGTAACATTGATTCCTCATAAAAGGAGGCCATTACTGGATGCTGATCTATCTTGGATTGAAAAGGATATAACTGTATATGAACAAGAGATTTCTATTCTAGAGCTGCAAATCACCTCTCTGATATGCTAAAAAGAATGATTCAAGCATTTACTTTTCAGGCACAAAGCACTTCTGTTGCCTATCTTTTATCTTTCATAGAATGTTTTCTTGGAGATATTCTCCTATGCTATGCATCCTCTCAAGAACAGCCTCAATGTCACTAACAGCTTGTGGCTCCCAGACTAAGTCTCTGGATATTAGTGAGATATCATATTGTCCTCATCTGTATTATAGTCAGTCATCATTGTGAAACTGTTACAATTTTTCCTATTTCTTTCTTTAATTGACCCCTATTTATGCTTAGTCAGAGTGCTTAAGCTAGTGCTTAGAACCATGGGACAGGCTTAGTCATCACAACAAGCCATGTCCATCATTGTCTTCTGACACAATGATGATCCTCAATAATACACAACAACCTTTTTATAGATAGTAGTGACACTCCAGAACAATAGGCACAAAGACTTAGACTAGTATAATAGGCAGTAGTATATTTATCTTGATAAATGAGTAGTATATAAGTAGGACCACTCTCACTGGTATAACTCCAGCTTCAAGCTAAAGTTTATTTATACCACCTCACTCTTGAGCCAACTTGTAAAGGCCTTGAAGCATATTGGTCAATAGACATAAACAGTGGACTCTAGCATGATTGTATGAATACAATACAGTGCTAGTTTATCATGTGTTCTGACCATGTGCAACTTGAGTCTAACAGAAACCTCTATACATCTGATGGTGGAGGTCTTGGCCTATCACTTTTGTCACTCTGCATAATATCTATTGTGAGTAGAAATAAGAGGTCATTATAACAGCTTCTGCTCAGTCAAGAAATATGACTATATTCATTGTATCTTTGATATGATCCTCAAAAAATCTATGTACTGGAAAATAATGGATATGCATGTGTGAACCAGAATATCTGAAGAGACAGCCTTTAATTTCAGGGAACACCCCTTTGATAGTGCTGGAAGAGTTTCATCTCTCTTCCACAATAAAAAAAGTAGGCTTCAGCATAAAGATATTGTTCTCACTATCACTTCTTTAATGTGTGTATCTCTCCTGTCTATTTGAGATCTCTCAGAGGCTTTTTAATGCAAGCTTTCTGATGCATTTCTCAGAGAAGCTATATTATTTGGCAGACATCTGATACATCATTCAGGTACCTGCACTTATAGAATATCATATCTGCCTTCCAAAACACTCCATGAATCTAGATAGATTTATAGTTCTCAGTGACATCTTACCAGTTCAAATGAAATAATAGAAGTTTTTAATAGTCAATGATGCAAGCATACTTGACATTATTACTACACTGTCATTAAGAGTATTCAAATTTCACTAAGGCTTTATATTGGATGAAAATAAAAATAATTATGAGATTCATTCTCTTTAAGATTTTCTGAGCAGAAAACTTGGGTAGCTGTTGTTAGTGCACTGCTTGGACTCTGTTTTTCTTTTATCAAGCATGGATAATATCTCTCTAGTCCAATTTAATGTGACTGGAGCATTAAACACAGTGATATTATCAGTAAATTCCTCTTATAATAGCTCAGAGGCAATATTCTATGGCATTAAGGCATAGAGGTGAGAAAAGAAAACATGTAATGCATTTCTAATTTTCTTTTAACTCTGCTCACCTTGATATCAGTCCACCAGCTGCTTATTGACACATCTATCTGTCAAACCTCTCATAATAAATATGTCAGAAACATGCATAACAATTTATAGCACAAATAGATTTGTCTTTATCACTATCCTTGATAGCCAGTTTCACACTATATGTTTTAACTGAGCCTATAAGCTATACTATGAACAACTTTATACCATTCAATGTTTTAGTGCAGACATCTTTCTACTTTCTGTGTCATTCTGATTTTTTCTGATTTTTTTTTCCTCTAGTGCTAGTGCTATCACATTCATTAGTCTAATCTATCTACTGATTCTATCATTCTTCATTGTCATACATAAATTTTGATTCACAACTAATTCTTAACACAAGAATTAAAGTCTCCTCAATGTAGATGATCAGAGCTTCTGTATGAGAAGTATCTAGCCTCAAAACTAAATTACTCACTGGGTTTCTCATTCAGGTTTGCCTCATTACAGTGTTCATTACATACTTTATAATCTCTCTGTTTTACTCTCTTCTTAGCAGAGCCTTCTAAGTCAACTTCTGACACAAGTGTGCATTTTTCTTCTTTAAAAGTATTTTTTTAGATAACATATGGTGAATTAAAAAGCTTTCATGAGATGAATGGTCTCATTAACAGAACACCTGATAGAGAGATCATTGATAGTGACTTACTTAGAGATGAGACATTAACAAAATAGAGTATGAGAAGTATGTTAAGGGTGGCAAAATACTTGAAGATACTCTTCAGATCAATGATAAAGAGATCACAGAAAGTAATGCTCTCCTTGAAAAGTATGCTGTAATTGCATGAGATAGACATATTTCAGTCAGCAATAAGAGTCAGTTTGAGATTGGAATAGAGTCCACCCTCCTTGTGGGACTGGTTCACCCAGGCAAAGTGAGAGTGCTGAGAGTCAGTGGACACATTTGGATGTCAATAATAAAATGAAATAGGAATTTTCTTCATGTGACAAAGACAAACACACCAATAACCTTGGTGTTAATAGCCATGAACTTGTCTAGAGTATTATTGAAGGCCAGAATTTCAGTAGGGCAGACAAATGTAAAGTCTCTGATTGTCATTTAGACTTGAAACAAGAGAGATAAATATGTGCATATATATAACAGAAGATGAGAATGATCTTAAAATCAATTTGTTATTGCTTTCAGAGAAAGCATTGAAAGGGCTCATACTATTAACTGAGATAATCAGTTAAAGAAATATTCTTGAAGAGACCATCAACAATAGCAGCAGCTTTTACAGTGGGAGTGGGACATTAGACAAAAGCAATCACAGAGGAGCAGATGGTAATGGATAATGGGTGCAAAGAGGAAGAAATGGCTTTTTGACATATTGGTCATGCTATTTAGCAACAGGAATATTGATTCTAATATTATCCAAATGAGGCAATATGATAGTAAAAAGGTTGCAGAAAATTTGTTTTGGCTCTGCTGAAATAGTTTCTAAAAGATCATCTGAAGGATGTTATGTGACTCAGGACCTATGATCAGATGTAACCATATCTTAGTGATATTGCCCATAGCTCACTGACTAATATGTCACTTAAGCTTTTATAAAAGTTTCTCTGTCTTATCTTTATTAGTGACTTTCACAGCAGCTATAGTGGATCTATCCCTCTGGAGCTCTATAATAATACAGATCTTGGCCATTAAGACAAATATCAGATATTGTATATATATGTCAAGCTAATGTCATTCACAGCAGAAATATTAGATTTTTTCTTGTCTCTAAATGGCATTTTGATTCTGGAATACTGCCAATGAAGAGCATGACCCTATTTGATATCATTAGTAATAATCAACCAATACAACATTGCCTCTCAAATCTTCACAGCCAGTCACTCACACTCTGAGAATTCTATATCATATGTCCTATGAAGTTCTGGCTCTTGTTCTTCTCTTTGCTGATCATCTTATCTCTCTATATCAATTATCATAGCTCATATCATGGCTCTATGTGTTAGGCTCAAGCTGCATGTGATCAATTAGCACATGATAAACTAACATGGCTTCATGTTCAAGCCTTCCATTAGAGTTCACTGTATATACTAGTATTGACTCCCTGTGCTTCAAAGCTTTGTGTGACTAGCTTGAGAGTAGAATGAGAAGGAATAAACTTTAGCTTGAAGCTGAGGATTACCAGCAAGAGCAAGCTTCTTAAATACTAAACAAGATCTGCTAATAATACTACTTACTTATTGTATATCTCTCTGTTTCTGTGCTCATTGTCCTGGAGCATCATTACCATACATAAAAGGCTGATTGTGTGTTGCTGAGCAATGCTATTGCATCAAAAGACAATGACAGACTTGGCTAGTTGTGATGACTAAGCCTTATCCCATGGCCTTAAGTGCTTATTCTGGCACTCTGACTAAGCATAAATAGAGGTCAAGTCAAGGGAAGAAAATAGAAAATTGTAACATTACCCCCTCCTTAAGACCATCATTCTGATGGCTTAATTTAGGGATAGTTCATAGTTGTATATGGCTTCATCAGCATTCATTATCTTTTTGTTTACCCACTGGTTAGATTCTGGTCCATAGCCCTTCCAGCTGACCAGATAGTTGACTGTGGTCATTATACCACCCTCTTTTGCCTTGATTTTTTGTAGTTTATAGTTCAAAACTTGGTCGACTTCATAATGTTCTTTGTCATTGATAAGGTCCAGAGGTGGTGGTGGTGGTCATTCCTGATTAGAAAATGCTGGTGTGATGTAGGGTGCTAGTAATATCTCATTAAAGACATCGTGAATCCTCCAGGTTTTGGGTAGTCAGAGTTTACAGGTGCTAGCCCCTACTTTTGAGGTTATTGTGAAGGGGCCAGTGTGTTTATCCACCAACTTGCATTTGGGTCATGGCAAGTGGAGATTGGTGGTGTCCAACCAGACTTTGTTGCTGATCAAGTAATTGTGGGCCAGCTGACAATGTTTGTTGTATTGGGTTGTCATAGTTTTAGCTGCTTTTTCAAGAGTGGCTTCAGTTTCTTTATGGATTTTTGCCATGATGGCCACAAAGTCACCAGATGCCAGAGTGGTCATCTGATATCATTATGTTTGTGTAATGTTGGGGTGTCAACTATAATTAACAAAACATGAGGCTTTTCCCATTGCTGAGTGTACCCAGTTATTGTGCTGGAAGGCAGTGAGAGCTAGCCATTCCACCCAGTCATCTTGTCAATAGTTTATGAAGAGGCAGAGGTACTTTTCCACCTCTTGATTCATGTGTTCCATCTGTCTATCGGTTTGGGAATGGTATGCAGTAAATGCATTGTGTTTGATGTTTAAAAGATGATAAAAGTCATCTAGGAACTTTGAGACAAATTGAGATCCTCGATCAGAGATGATCACTTGCGGCATGCTGTATTTAGTGTAAACTTCATTCTGCAAGACCTTTGCCCATCCCTTGGAGGTTAATTCAGTGGAGCAGGCAATGGAAATGATGGATTTTGAGAACTGATTGACTATGATGAGGATTGCATTATAGCTGTTGCAATCAGAGAGGCTGGTAATCATGTTGACTGAGATGTGGGTCTAGGGTGATGATGGAACTTCATTTGAGTGAAGCAGTGCAGCTCGGGCCTGAGTTGATGACTTGTTGCATTGGCAAACTTTGCATGCTTTGATATATGTGGTAATATTGTTTCCCATCTTGGGCCACCAGTACTCTCATAACACCAATTCCTTGGTTTTGGCTATGCCAGAGTGACCAGCTGTGGCATGATCATGGCAGGCAGTGATGATCTCACTATGCAACCCCTGATCCCACAGGATGTAGACCCACCCATCATAGTGGATTAATCCTCCTTCCTTCATCATCCCCCATTCATGATTGAGAGATAGGGCCACTCATTGATCCCACTTGTGGTTGTCCCAAGTGGCACTTTTAATTCATTCATGGATCTCCTCCTCCATGGGCATTATCATGGCCCTAAAATGTTCAGGCCATAATAATATCACTCCCTCATTATCGGTCCCCCCCTGATCATTGTCTGTCCATTGGCTCAGGAGATCAGCTTTTTTGTTTGCCATACTGGCTTTGTGATGGAGTCTGTACTGATATTGACTAAGTTCAGTGACCCATCTGGCTTGCTGGCAGTTTAGCTTCTGCAGTTGTTGAAAATATCATAAGTTTTAATGATTGGTCCAGATCTCAAAAACTTCTATAGCCCTGATGAGATAATGCCACCATTCTTCCAAGGCAGGCATAATGGCAAGGAGTTCCTTGTTATAGATCTCATAATTTTGCTCAGTGATCATGAGTGCCTTGGATAGAAATGCAACAGGGTGCCATTTCTTGTCTTGTTCCTGAGATAGGACAGCCCCAACTGCTCCTCCACTCAAGTCAGCCTCAACTTGGAATTTTCCTTCCTGTGTTGGTATGGTGAGGATCACATCCTCAGCAAGCCATTGTTTGAGGTCATCAAATGCACTCTGTTAGGATAATCCCCAGGTCCATGGGGCATTACTGGTTAGCTGCGTCATTGGGTGGACAGTTTTGCTGTAGTCCCAAATGAAGCACCAGTAAAAGTTTGTGAATCCAAGAAATGACTGCAGCTCTTTTTTCCTGGTTGGCTCTGGCCACTCCATTACTCCAGCAATTTTGATGGGGTCCATCCAAATACTTCCTTCTGAGATAATGACCCCAAGGTACTCTGTCTTGAGCACCTCAAATTCACACTTCTCCACCTTGAGGAATAATTTGTGCTTCCTCATGAGGGCTAATACCTGCCATACTAGTCTCCGATGTTCCTCTTTTGTTTTGGACATGATTAAGATGTCATCAAGATAGATGGTAACCTTCCTGGTGGTGATAAGATCTTTGAATATGTCATTCATCATCCATTGGAAAGTCGCTGGGGAGTTAGTGAGTCTGAAGAACATGACCATCAGCTCGAACAGTCCTCGGTTTGTCCTGAATGCCACTTTCCATTTGTCCCCCTCCTTAATGCAGACATTGTTATATCCCCATTGGACATTGAGCTTGGTGTAATATTTAGCACCCCAGAGTTTGTCCATTAACTCTGAGATCAATAGGAGAGGGTATCGGTTTTGATCATCATTTTGTTAAGCTTTCAATAGTCTTGGACTGGTCAGAGCTTGCCATCTTTCTTTTTGATGAAGAAGAATGGTGATGCCATGAGAGATTTCAAGAGTCTGATGTGTCTGCTGGACAAGTTCTCATCTAAGAACTTGTTGAGCTCCTGCTGCTCATTATTGCCAAGTGAATATGTCTTGCAGTCCAGATTGGCATTTGCATTTGGGATTAATTCAATCGCATGATCCCATGGTTTCAGCTCTGGTAGTTTGTCAAAGCTTTCTTTTTCGAACAGATCCTTGAAGTTGCATGCCCATGCAGACACCATTTCTTCAAAGGTTTTTTCCTCCCTCCATTCATTGGCTTTGGTGGCGAGGTTGTTGGCATGGTGGATGGTGTGAATATGTAGTTCTCATTGTAGGTCAACAGCAAGGATGGTTTCTCCATCCTCCATTTTCTCATCCCATCGATCTTCCAGGTCTTCGTTGGGTAATTTGAATGGGATCTTCTGACACTGGCACCTCACAAATGTGATTCACCCAGTTTTTTGATTGATCAGTGAGTTGTGATGTATTAACCAATCATAACCAAGGAAAACTTCCTCAGTCCCAAGATTCATGACCACCAAATTGATTCATTCAGAGTGATCACTGATCATGAGCCTAAGCTCTGTAAATTTGGTGATTGAACTGGCTTGGTTTTTGGTCCCATCAGCATTGTAAACTGGGATCAGAGCTGTGGTGGCCTGGGTTGGGAGTTTATGCTTGTTGACCAAAGCTCGATTTATAAAACTCCCTGTGCATCCACTGTCAATGAGTGCAGTTACTGTGTGGGTGGATCGATATGTAAGAGTCTTGATTTGGGCTTTAGCAAGTAGGTCTCATCCAGTTGTTTTAGATCAATAGATGAACTTTCATAGTCCATGAAGTTCATTGAGCCACTCTAAGGCTTGGCATCATTTGGCCTTCTTCATTCCTTCCACCATTTCATTGATTACTTCCTCAGCTTGGGTTCAGTGGACCCAATTCT